TGTCTCTCAGATATGCTTCATCAGCGTCCGTCCACTCGGAGATGAAGTCAGCAGGGTCAACCTGCGCATTCTGACCCAACCATTCGCAGCTATCTTCACTAATCCGACGGTTGAGAGCACCAGACCTGAGGTAAGCTTCATCCTCAGCCGTCCATTCAGCAGTGATAAACTCACTGGGGTCCACCAAGTTGTAATCCGCCAGCAGAAGAAACGGCAGCAGCTCATCTTCATCATTCCCAGCCGAGCTGCTCTTGACAGAGACACTTCTCAACTCGATTTCATCAGCATCCGTCCACTCCGTCAGCCATTCAAACGGAGTGGAACTTGCTGGCGAGCAGGCGAGCCAGCTCGGAACGTCCCAGATGTATTGAGCAGCGTCGCCAAAGCAAGCGGCAGCAGCTACGGCAACAAGAAGCGCGGACTCAGGGTGGATAAGTGCCATTCGATGTAAGGAGCTGGAATGATCTAGCAAGAGTTTCGACAAAAAATCCAACAATAGGTTCTAGCAGTAGGTGGATAGATCGCACGAGATGTGACTCAAACAAAGCTCGAACAATCGATGCGTGATTGAAGAGGAATACTCATTGCCTTGGTCACTTGAACTCACAGCCAGGCGAGGCGACTGCCTGTTGCCTCCTTACCTTACGTAGGCCGCACAACCAGGCAGCGCGGTTCGGAATGGGTTCGGTGTGGCTCTAGCTTCGGGATCCCGCCAATGTGGGAGCCTTCTTAGGCTCGATCCCCGGATGTCGGAGCCCCACGCTCCTTCCGAAATGTTAGCGATGGTTGCCAGCGCGTTTATAATGGATCAGCTCGATCGACAGCCTTTGGATCTTCACGAACCAATCTAGAACTTCAACAACGGAACCTCAGCCTTTGGATTAAGCGACCAAGACATCTCCTTGCCAGCGCATCACGTGGATGACGCGGAATGAGCTGGCGGGGAAGGAAAAGGAGCGGCTGGGATGCAAACGAAAGGCTGGAAACACTCTACGTTTCCGGAACCGTCAATGGCACCGACATTACCGCGCATGCACATGATTGCACCGACATTATTGACCTGAACCACATAAAGCGCACCTCCGACGTGGATCCACTCATGACATGCCGCGTCACGTGACAGATAAGCGGCGGTGCGACAGATAAGACAAGGGAAGGTGAGGGTGGCTGACGAAAGGGACCAAGAGCCATGTTATTCATGCGACCTCTGGGCGCCCTACATACTCCGGCAGTAAATCTACACTGTGTAGTGTTTGGTCAGCGAGGGCGGCAGGGATGGTGAGATGTGAGACCCTAGGTGCTATACCCATTACAGCACGACCAGCTGTTCAAAAAAGAATATAAGTTTTCCAGAAATTTTATGCAACTCTATTTCACAAGTATTCGTGTGAAGTGAGGGCGCATTCCGCTGTGGACACATGTCCCAATCGATGTGTCCCAATCGAGTGTACCGCTCCGAACCGAACTAAACCAGAGACGCGAAAATTTCGAGACTAGGGTGCAATTTGGTGTAATACGATGCAGTGCGGTAGAAACGATTGGGACACATCGATTGGGACATGTGTCCACAGCGGAATGTACCCTAAGTCATTTCTGATCTTTGTACATTGGGAATTGATTGTGATCGTTCTAAAACATACAACATCAACAGAACACATTTAACTTACAATAATATGTTGGCATTGCAAGGCCAGTCAAAACTTCACTAGCTCACGACACACTTATTCACACCACACACAATGTTCAGCTGCAGCAAGACATAAAACTTGTTGGCTCCCCCATGAGTGCGACAGTGAGACTGACAGAGATGGGCCATATTCTATGCATACAAGTGAATCGTTGCCAAAACAGCAGAGCTGTGTAACGTCATATTTTGAAATAACATGAGCTCCCCTTATCAGCTTCCCTGACCCTGTCTCAATGTCACACATGTGACTCAGCAAGGCCAATCCTGGCACATGTTTCTGGCACGGGTGAGCGAGGTCAAGACAATTAACTTCAACCAATGGAAGCCATACAAACGACGCTGCTCTATGCACTTTCATCCCAGAAAATGAGAAGATTGAAAAGAATGTAAGTACAAGAGAAAAAGAGAAAGCAGGTAAACGGGGGCATAGGTCATGGGTCATGGGTGGAGCATCTGACCTCATAGAACACACTGCTGGAGCATGAGATGGAAGTTCAGGGGGAATGGAAGTTCAATGCTTGATACAAGGGAGATGGGAGTCAGACGCCATATTGGTATCCGAAATCAGATGCATGCATGATGCATGAGAAGTGGCGATGATGCCTGATGAATGAGAAATGAAAAAGGCGATATGTCGCATTTGAAACGAAACGTCAGAGCCTGATGCATGGGAAATCAGAACTGGTGCAAAGAAACTGGGAACACAGTGAATGAACATCTGATATCGAATGCACAGGAAATGGAAAACTGATGTCGGATGCACAGGGTCATGATTGTTTTGCTGAATATACCGATGCAGGGGAAAATTTCCAGCTTGACCGTCGCGATGAAGATCTGTTGTCGAATGCACAGGACATGAGAACCTGATGTTGGATGCACAGGAGATGTAATTTCGATGCCAGACGTAGGGCAGGAATGTTTCAACAACAAGCAGAAGGAAAAGGCAATCTGGTGCTTTCTGCCAGGCTCGAGCGGCAGCCTCAAGAGTGTTCACCAACTCGTCCAACCCGCCTGATGCTCATGGCAGCTCAGCCAGAGGGTCACGCGCCAGGGCACCATGACACCCCTCTAGCGTTGGCATGATAATACCGTGACACACCTCCCAGCCTAGCATGATATTCAAGCGCCATGGCACCATGACACCCCTCCCAGCCCAGCATGATATTTGAAGCGCTCTGCAGACTGCTGCAAATGCACAAGAACCACGTGCTGACAACAGAGCATCTCAATAGCTCATACCCAACAATCGTCTGACCTCACCATATAATAGCAACCGAGCTGTTCTCTGCCCTCACCTGACCTTCCCCCGCACCCACCCACCCCCTTGCAGTCCCCACTGCCGGCCTCTTGCTGGTGAACTCCCCTCTGAATCCACTTGCTGCTCCACCAACTGGCCGGCCTTGAGTCTTACAACATGGGTGGAGGCGCATGCGGCCTCATACAATGAAATGTGGAAACTTCATCGTAAATAGGAATCAAAACGCTGATTCATGGCCGATGGGAATTAGAAGCGCAGTGCATGGGATTCGATATCAAATGCCTGACAATGGAAATATGAATGAGACGCATGATGCATATGAAATGCAAACCAGAAACCTGGCGCATGGAAAATGGGAATTTGATGCTTGATGGGCAGAATAGGAATTCGGAATTCGATGCGCATTGGAACATTGGAACATTGGAACCGGGCAGGAATCACATGCTTGATGTCTAGGGAATGGGGATCACACACCTGTTACTTGGGAAATGGGAATCCCATACATGATGCATGGAATCAGATGCCTGATGCATGGAAAATGAAGATCAGCTACTGCAGCATGCATGAATGCGATGTGGGAATCAGTTCCTTGGCGCATGAACAACAAGAATGAGGGGAAAATAGGATGGATATTTCATGAGATCAGAATCAGATGCCTGATGGAGGGGATATGTGAGTCCGTTAAACGCATCATGCATTTGAAACGAGAATCAAACGATAAGCCTGGCCTGCATAGGACAGGGAAGCAGATCCCGCTTCCTAGAGCACTAGGAAGCGGGATTCAGGTGCTCAACGAATGGGGTTTTGGAGATCAGATGCTTGATGGATGGGAGTTGAAGGTCAGATGTCCTGTGCATGCATGAGAAGTAGGAATTAGATGAGTTACCCATGGAAAATGTGAATGAGATGCCTGATGCATGGGAGATGGGAGTGGGATGCCTGATGCATGGAAATGAGGTGCCTGATGCGTGGAAATGGAAATGAGGTGCTTGATGCATGATGAATGCATGGGAAATTAGAATAAGTTGCACGATGCACAGGAAACGGAACCAGATGTATGATCAACAAGACACGAACATCAGATGCTTGATGTTAGGAAATTGGGAATCCGGCACCTTGTGCACGGGGAATGGAAAGAACAGGCTTGATGCATGGGGAATGAAGGCAACAGGTGCTTGCTACAAGGGACGTGGGAAGGGAACAAAAGTAAGCATAAAAACGGTATTCATATGATAGATGGATGGGAATGCGAAGGAGATTCCTCATGCACAAGGTATGCGAATCACATAGCTGATCTCATAGCCCATAAAATTTTGAAACTCTTCACTTACAGAATGAAAGATGGGAACCAGGTCCCATATGCCATATTAATCAAAATTGGAAATGGGAGTGGGAGATGCATTGGAATGGGAGTGAGATGCCTGATACATGGGAAATGGGGCTGAGATGCCTTATGCATGAGAAATGCGGATGCATGTCTGATGCATGGGAAATGGGACTGATGCATGGGAATTATTGACTGTCCCTGCTGCAGGGAACATGGGAACCATATGCCTTATTTGCGGAAATCCAGAAAATCCTATCCCTCCAGCAGGGAACATATGCATTAGATGACTGATAGTGGGAAGTGGGAAAATCGGAGTGGAGAGTGGGAAAGGTAAGATGCAAGGAAAACGAGAATTACGGTATGGCACTTGAAGTCCTCAGCACTCTGCAGTGAAAGGCACAAGTAGCGTGCGAGTCTCAAAGCGCAATGCTCAAGAAAGTAACACAAAATATGCTTGTGAATGTGAAATTTCATCCACAAACTCAGAAAGTGACTCAATGCATGTGGATGTGGATCACACATGTTCAATGACTTCAGAATACATAGAGATTATTCATGCAGCAGCACGCAGCCATTATCAGAAACCCAACATTTGGTTTCTAATCTACACTATACATGAAACATAAATATGTACACAATGGTGCAACAAGGCATTGAGCAAATATCTATTCCCACTTAGGAATCTTTGATAATTGTTTCTATGAGGCTGCTTGTGCAGCCTGACTTATTTACCCACTTGTCCTCCTTGTTCTTCCCTGCGACCCTTTCTGCAGTACCTGCCTTAGGGGGGCCACACGAGCAGCACTGGCTCTGGCCATAACAGGGGCTGCTGTTGGTTTCACTGCAGGCTTGGGAGCTGCAGCCTTGGCTGCAGGCTTGGGAACAGCAGCCTTGACTGCAGGCTTGGGAGCTGCAGCCTTGACTGCAGGCTTGGGAGCTGCAGCCTTGACTGCAGGCTTGGGAGCTGCAGGCTCGACTGCAGGCTTGGGAGCTGCAGCCTTGACTGCAGGCTTGGGAGCTGCAGACTTGACTCCAGGCTTGGTACCTGCAGCCTTGACTGCAGGCTTGGGAGCTGCAGCCTTGACTGCAGGCTTGGGAGCTGCAGCCTTGACTGCAGGCTTGGGAGCTGCAGCCTTGTCTGCAGGCTTGGTAGCTGCAGTTTTGACTGCAGGCTTGGGAGCTGCAGCCTTGACTGCAGGCTTGGGAGCTGCAGACTTGACTGCAGGCTTGGAAGCTACGGCCTTTGCTGCTGGCTTGGAAGCAGCAGCCTTTGTTGCTGGCTTGGAAGCAGCAGCGTTTGCTGCTGGCTTGGAAGGTGCAACCTTGACTGCCGACTTGGAAGGTGCTGCAGATGATGCAGCAATAGTAGCAGCAGCATTGGCAGCAGCTGAACCCACAGCAGAAGCAACAGCACCCATAGCTGCAGCAGCAGCCCGGACCACAGCAGGTCTCAACCGGGAAAATCCCAGAGGAGCACGAATTTCCCGCTTGCAGCTCGCTTCAGCAAACCTGCCAACCCTGTACGCCACAGCAGCTGATGTCATAGGCTTCAGCTTTGGCGACAGCAGCAGCCTGTCACCCTCACTCGGTGCTGAGAAGCACCTGAGAGTCGTGTCTCTCAGATATGCTTCATCAGCGTCCGTCCAGTTGGTGATGAATTCAGAGGGGTCCACCTGCGAGTTTTCTGTCAGCCATTCGGAGCTATCTTCACTAATACGACGGTTGAGAGCACCAGACCTCAGGTAAGCTTCATCCTCGGCCGTCCATTCGGTCGTTATAAACTCACTGGGATCGTAATCCGCCAGCAGCAGCAGCGGCAGCAGCTCGTCCTCATCATTTTGAGTTGAGTTGCTCTTGACAGAGCCACTTCTCAACTCGATTTCATCAGCATCCGTCCACTCCGTCAGCCATTCGAACGGAGTGGAGCTTTCTGGCGAGCATACGAGCCAGCTTGGAACGTCCCAAATATATTGGGCTGCGCCACCAAAGCAAACGGCAGCAGCAACAGCCACTGCTAGTGCCGATTCAGGGTGAAGATATGCCATTCGAGGGAGCTGGGGTTTCAACAGCGAAGACCAAGAGCAGTGAACGAAGAAATTGCGAGGGATGTGATTCTATAAGAGCTTGAGCAATCCAGGTGTGACTGAAGAAGAAAAGTCACACTTTGTCACTTGTACTCACAAAGAGCAGAGGAAGCGAGTGTCCGTTGACCACCTCACCGTTCGTGGGCCGAACAGCCGATTCGGGCTGGGGTGGCTCAAAGCGGGGGAATTCCGCCAAAACGGGAGCCAGCTTCAGGACCCCGCAAACACGGTAGCCAGGTTCGGGTCCCCGCCAGCGTGTGCCTCTGCGCCAACATGGGTGCCAGCTTCGGAACCGAGACTAACATGTGGCACCGCGCCAACATGGGAGCTAGCTTCGGGACCCCGCCAACTTGTGAGCCAGCTTCGGGACCGCGCTAACATGGAAACCAGCTTCAGGGCCCGCCAATTTTCGAGCCTTTTTAGGCTCAATCCGTGGTCGTCGGAGCTCTAGGTTCGAGCAGACAACTACCAATAGTTGATCCAGCGTGGATCAGCCTTATCGACGGCCACAAAGGGATGAGCTCATTCGGGAATTGAACAATGGTTTAGATTGATCATGATGAACATCCTCTTGCCAGCGCATTCATGTGGATGACGCTAAACGGCCTGGCGGAGGAGGAAATCGAGCGGCTGGGGTGTAATCGGACGGCAGAAAAAAACTTACACCGACAGTACAGCGTACGCAGAATAATTGCACCGACATCATCGGCCCGAACCGCATTCGGCCTTCGACGTGGACCCACTCACGATACACGTGGCGTGTTTGGTTACACGTGGCGAGTTCCTCGACAAAAACCGTGATATTTCTGTTGGCTGATGGAAGCGACCAAGAGCCATTCTATTCAAGTGCCGTCCGGACACTCAACATAAAATCCAACAGCAAATCTACATCGTAACAGCGGCTCCTAGCGAGCTAGCGTTGGCTCAGTGAGGGAAGCCAGGGCGGCTGTCTAGGAAGTTGCTAGTTGACAGGGGTAGGCATGGCGAGATGTGAGATCTAGATCATTGACAAAACCCTAGGCGGCATACCCCTTACAGCACAACTGGCTGTATTGAGAGAATAATATCCCTAACACCACACCCAGCTGTGCTAAAATAGCTTGTACGCTCTAAGGTCATTTCATATTCATTTCCCTTTTCCCTTCCCCTAAAATCGTATGTCATACTACTGGATGTTCATTGTTTTGAGTCCTTGCATTATACGATGTTAGGGGAAGCCCCTACATTCATTAGCACCAACTTCACACAAAACTGCTACCAAGTTAACAAAAGAAAACCAAAATACGCTTAAACAACAGGCCCCTAGCATCTTAGTCGACCTCCTCCATCTTGGAGCCCTCATCCGCACCCTCATCAAGAGCAGGCATGTCAGCATCGTCATCAGCAGGCAGGTCGTCATCAATGCTCAGACCCAGCTTGATCATGCGGTGAATGCGGCCACCGAATGTGTTGGGCTCCTCCAGGCTGAATCCCGAGGTAAGAAGGGCTGCAGAAGAGAAACAGAAACAAGACCATTGTGAGATGAGCTGGTAGTTGGACACAAGAAAGCAGTGTCTCCTGCATAAACCGAACCCAAATTGGAGGAACAAGGCAGAACAGCTAAGGGAAACAGAAGCAAAGGGCAAAATATTGAGAAAAACAGGATTTTCTGCTCACCAGTTTCGAAGAGAAGCAGAACGAGGTCCTTGACAGTCTTATCCGACTTGTCCGCATCAGCGCGCTTCTTCAGCTCCTGAATGATGCCATTCTCTGGGTTAATCTCCATGGTCTTCTTGCTCATCATGTAGCTACTCATGCTGCTGTCCCTCAGCGCCTGCGCCTTCATGATCCTCTCCATGTTCGCACTCCACCCATACTCGCCCGTCACCAGGCAGCACGGCGAGTCCACAATACGGTCCGACACCTGCACCTTCTCCACCTTGTCTCCCAGGATATCCTTCATCAGCTTGCACAGCGGCTCGAATGCCGCCTTGGTCTCCTCCTTCTTCTTCTTCTCCTCCTCCGTCTCCTCCAGCTTCAGCCCCTCCTTGGTGGCGGACACAAGCTTCTTCCCATCGTACTCCTTGAGCTGCTGCACCGCATACTCATCAATGGGGTCAACCATGAACAGCACCTCATACCCGCGCTTCTTCAGCTTCTCCAGGAACGGCGAGTTCTCAACGGCCTTGCGGCTCTCGCCAGTGATGTAGTAAATCACTGACTGCCCCTCCTTCATGCGCGTGACGTAGTCCTTGAGGGAGGTCATCTCCTCGCCGGACTTGGTGCTGTGGTAGCGCAGCAGGTCGGCGAGCTTGGCGCGGTTCTGCGAGTCCTCGTGGATGCCCAGCTTGAGGTTCTTGCCGAACGCCTCGTAGAACTTGGCATAGTCCTCCTTGTTCTCCTCGATCTCCGCGAACAGCTCCAGGCACTTCTTCACGATGTTCTTCTTGATCACCTGCAGAGACGCGAGGAGTGGTGGAAGTGACGCGTGGGAGGACGGGACGTGAGCATGAGAGAGAGTTGAAGTGGGAAGGAATGACTACCAGTACCTCATATGTAAAATTGAATTTGGTGAACGAGGTGGAGAGGGAGGGTGGGGGGAGAGGGGAAGAGAGGGGGTAGGGGATTGGGCGCGGGGCGGGATAGGGGCATTCGCAAACTGGTGGCAGAGCAAGTCCGAGAACGCACCTTGAGGATCTTGTTCTGCTGCAGCATCTCGCGGGAGATGTTGAGCGGGAGGTCCTCGGAGTCGACGATGCCCTTGATGAAGCCCAGGTACTCGGGGATGATCTCTTCGCAGTTGTCCATGATGAACACGCGCCGCACGTATAGCTTGATGTTGTTCGCCTTCTTCTTCCCGTCGAACAGGTCGAACGGCGCGCGCTTCGGCACGAACAGGATCGACTTGAACTCCAGCTGTGCAGGAGAGAGGGGCGAGAGGGAGCGCGGGGCGAGCGAGAACGGGAGTGTTAGCGGCCTTGCAGACGACAAGTGGTCGGATCATTTACATCGTGATAAGTGGTCTGGAAAATTCAGCTTGCTCAAGCCCATTCGGTTCATTGTCTGGTGCTTTCTTGTTGAAAAGACACAGCGGCATGAGCAAGTGCGAGCACGAGCAGCTGACTGACCTGTCCCTCAACGGCGAAGTGCTTGTACGCGAGCGGCTCCTCCCAGTCGTTGGTGAGGCTCTTGTAGAACGCGGCGTACTCCTCCTTGGAGATCTCGTCCGGGTTGCGCATCCAAATGGGCTTCTGCTTGTTGATCAGCTCCCACTCGCTCGTCACCTCCTTCACCTTCTTCGTCTTCTTCTCCTTCTCCTCATCCACGTCCTCCACCTTGCCCTCCTCCTCCTCCTTCTCCTCCTCCTCGTCCTCCTCGTCCACCTCCTTCTCAGTCGTCTTCTGCACCCACAGCGAGATCGGGTAGCTGATGAACTCGCTGTGCTTCTTCACCAGATCCTTGAGCCGACGCTCCTCCAGGTACTCCAGTTGATCCTCCTTCAAGTGCAGCACGATCTTGGTTCCGCGTCCGAGGTCCTCGCCTGGAAGCGAAAATAGGCGGTAGACGAAAACAAGAGACAGTAGGCGACAGTAAGCGAAAGATTCTTCCAAATTCGGCTTCAAAAGCTTCAACCACTTCAACGCAGAGTAATCGCCAAAATTGGAGACAGGCTATTAGAAGGTTGAACACGTGCTTTAGGAGGAGAATCGGCCTTACCGGTGTCACGCGCGACGGTGAAGGAACCGCCAGCCTGCGACTCCCAGATGTACTGCTCGTCGTCGTTGTGCTTGGTGTGAACGACCACCTTGTCCGCCACCAAATACGCCGAGTAAAACCCCACGCCGAACTGCCCGATCATGCTGATGTCCGCGCCGGCTGATAGAGCCTCCATGAACGACTTGGTGCCGGATCGCGCAATGGTTCCGAGATTGTTCACCAGATCTGCACAACACACCATTTTAAGAAAAAAATTGTCAGCTTACTTGGAGGCCAACGATCTGCAATTCTAAATTCAGTAGCTATAATGACACCGTTAGATGATTAAGGTTTCAAATCCTTTCGAGGCGGCTGGATGATCGTAGGAAACACCGGAAAGGGACGCACCAGCCTTGGTCATGCCGATGCCGGAGTCAATGATGGAGAGGGTCTTGTTGGTCTTGTCGGGGACGATGTGGATGAACAGCTCCGGTTGCTTGTCCAGCTTGCTCTTGTCCGTTAGCGACTCGAACCGAATCTTGTCCAGAGCCTGCACGCGATCCGGCATGCAAGTCAGCAAACAGTTTCACGCGATACATGCTGAATCAATTAACAGATTCAACGAAAATATTCACTGCAAAATAAGGCGGTAATTGCTTACATCAGATGCATTAGAGATGAGCTCGCGAAGGAAGATCTCCTTGTTGCTGTAGAAGGTGTTGATGATCAGACTGAGCAGCTGGTTGATCTCAGCCTGAAAAGCGAACGTCTCCACATCGGTACCCTGAGTCTCCATGGCAGGGGAGGCTTCTGTAGCCATGGCGTGTCGTCACTAACGTCGATCAAAAGTTAACGAGAGAGATAACTCGAGTTTATAAACCAAGAAGTACGCTGGAGCAGGAAATGAGATCGTAAATCTGGATCGGCAGATAAACGTCCTCGTAGCGGTTGCTGAAAGCACAGCAATGTAAAAGCAGATCAAGGATTCACGAAAGATAGCTCGCTTGGAACGAATAAATCTGTTTGGAGCTAAACCCCTCAACGGGAAGCACGGGTTTGCTCTCGAGCCACGTGGAAGCTTCCAGAATATAGTGGTTCTTTGGCGAAACGACGAAAGCAGTCGAAGGTTGGCGACAGCTGACGTGGACAGGTTATGAAGGAAGTACTTGCTTCGCGAACCTTACGAAAGCAATTCAACCAATCACAATAGCATCCGTTCAAGCGATATGTTGTTCAGAAAGTTCTTTTGGACCGAGAAAAATCTGTTCGGCCCGCTCCAGCCCAAATGACATTTTCGAGAAGGATCCAAATGTTCCGCTACAGTCTCTGAGCTAAACCCTCACACAGCCAGCATGCTCAAGTAACTTCATATAGATTCATATACTGGAAAATGCCATATGTTCTAGATTTCTACCTTGACCACCCATCTTCAAATTGCCACCATGACTTCCTGCTCTTTGGAGCCAGAAACGTCACACGCACACTAATCTCACCATTGTAGCACCAATCTCGGCCGAATTCAACCCCTGCACCCTACGATGTTCTTGAAATATGCTATACATTTATAAGTAACTCCCACTTCCACTGGGCAAACATGTCAAGCCATCATTCTGTCATCTGTGGAAGCAAATAGAGAGCTCGAGCTTCAATGTAGACCGCTTGCCAAGAATGCATAGCAACTTCTGAATTATAAAACGACAAACACATCAGCGTTAAACACCACTCACCACAAGAAACGAGCCATCCTGCCTACCTGAACCAAATCTACCCCCACGACGACCATCTCGTTCCCGACTGCAACAGCGTCCGCGAATACCCCCCTCCTGCCCCTCTCCCTTCCTCTCCACCTCTATCCCCTCCTCCACCATCTCCCCCATCCCCCCTCCCCGCAACGGAGGGAAACCCACCCGCAAACCCCGAAGGCGGAGGGCGAATCATGTTCATAGACTTGGGAGCCTGGCCCTGCTTGCGCTGCCGGTCCTCCTGCTCCATGGCTCTCAACTTGCTCTGAATCGCCGCCACCCGCGCCCGTTTGGCACTGTCTGCTGCCGACGCTGCCGCCACCGCTGCTCCCGCACCCCCTCCTCTCCCCACACCTGCAGCCCCAGCAGCACTGGGAGCACCAGGAGCAGAAGCGGCAGCAGTGGCGGGTGCAGCAGTGGTGGTGGCGGTGTTTCGGTTCCAAACGGGGGCGTCGGTGTTGTACGTGACCACCTTCTCATCCACGAATCGCACCACCAGCGGCCGCCCAAACACCATCCGACCGTTCATCTTGGACCGAGCCAGCTCAGCTTCCTGATTGAGCAAGGGTGCGGAATGGGGGGGGATGGTGTAAGCGAGGAGGATGGTGTGAGTGGGGAGGTGGTGTGAGTGGGAAGGTGGTGTGAGTGGGGAGGTGGTGTGAGTGGGGAGGTGGTGTGAGTGGGGAGGTGGTGTGAGTGGGGAGGTGGTGTGAGTGGGGAGGTGGTGTGAGTGGGGAGGTGGTGTGAGTGGGGGGGTGGTGTGAGTGGGGAGGTGGTGTGAGGAAGGAGATGGTGTGAGGGGGGACATGGCACTCCACGAAGGCATAGCTCCAGGACTCCCCCTAACGCACCTCTAGCTTGCTACGCACCCCAACGCACCTCTCGTTTGCTGTACTCAACAAAAGCATAGCCACGGGGCTCGCCCCGCTTGGGCCCGTATGTGTGCCACAGATACTCCTCCCGACGGATCTTGCCGTACGGCGTGAACATCTTGATCACGTGGTACCTGTGGCGTGGGGCAACAGACAGGTGGCACGGCACAAGTGGTGACCTTTGAGTCCGTCAAAAGGTCATCGTACCGTATGGCGTGAACATCTTGATCACGAGGTACCCGTTGGGGGCACAACATGTATGACACGCGGCATGAATATTGCCACGTGGTCCAAACACCAAGGTCAGAGCAGGGCATGCAACATGCAGCACGTGCCTTCCCAACACAACAGGCACACATGCAGATGCACCACCCATTCCCTCCCCACGCACAACTGAATATCAATATATGTGTAAATGAGTGTGTGTGTGTGCACGCGCGCGTGCGTGCGTGTGTGTGTAGATGTGTACATGCATATATGCATACATACATGTGTATGTATATACATATGTAAACGGAACACTCACTCGGTGACGCGGTGGTCCAGGTTGCCCACATACAGCTTGTTCTCCGTGCGCTCGTCTGGCGGTGGGCCCGACCTGCCTGACGACTCCTGTGGGTGCGCGGGAGGGAGGGAGGCGGGGAAGGGGTGGGGGGGAGGTAAGGGGAAGGTAAGGGGGGACGGGAAAGGGGAGGAAACGGAGCGGAGAGGAGGCAAGAGAGAGGGGGGGTGGGTGAGGGGGAGAAGATGGAGGAGGGAGCGGGCAGAAGGGAAGGAGGAAAGAGCGGGGAGGTGAAAAGGGGCGGGAGCGGGGGGAGGGAAGGGGGAGGAAGCGGGGGGTGGGAAGGGGGATGGAGCGGGGGAGAGGCAAGAGAGAGGAAGCAGGGTGAGGGAGGAGAAACGACGGTGAGGAAGCAAACGAAAAGTGCAAAGAGTTTTGGTGCGAGTTAAAGTCGCCCTTTTGAGATACGAACCTTTCGTTTGTCGTATGGATGCGACCTCGACGAAGGCCTATCTCGACCCGCCTTCCCTACGCCGCCGTCCATCACAGAGAACCCAAGCGGCTTATCCCTGTCTACCGCTCCTTATCGTTGTGCACCGCTGCCAGGACACACGTCGGTTATCGCTGCCAACCTCTAGATAGTTACGTCGCTGCTTTTCGCAGCCTGTCGTCGGGCTCACGACTTAATGGCGATAGAGAGTGGGCTGTATCGGGTAACTACCGTAGTAGACTGCTCCTAATAGCGTCGAGGCGGCCTTCGACTTTAGCTGACCCGACTAAGGTAGTTACCGAGTAAGGTGACTACTTGCAGGAGAAACAGGACGAACCCTAACGCGTGCACCGATGGGTCCGCCGTTCGCAACTTCAACCTGTTGTCGAGTCCCTCTCGCAGGGAAACCAACGAGGCTCTTTTTACGAAACGGTACACGGTGAACGCTACGACTAGCGGACACGATTCAAGAAGCGTATGTCTCGGGGTTCTGTGTATTTGTGTCCACGAAAAGGAGCGGGAGAGGTCGTGCCACGTGGCAGCTATGGTGGTTGCTTAGGTGGGATGACGATCCGGCAGAACGAAGGGGTGCGAAGCGGTAAACGAGCGAGGAGCGCGACGCTCGTCAGGCTGCAAAGGACAGCGCGATAACGCCTAGAGCTTAGGCGCGATAGCGCCTAAGTGCGAGTTAATTCTTGTGGTTGCTTTCGTGTTAGCCTCGAGCCGCATGGATTGTTTCGCATCTAATCGCACGGTTATCGTGATCGCAGACCAGTGGTGAGGGATCTGGCGAACAAGAACAAATGTATTGTCGTCGCGTGAAAGTGGTTATCTTAGGGCGTGGAACATTTTTCCGACCACGCCGATTTATCGACTATCTGGTTGGAGCTGGCGAAAACGAAAGGTGTAACAGAGTTGCGAAGGGTGCGAAATTTCTAAGCTACACTGCTCGCCAGCACGCGGGGCACCCAATAGAAACCACCCCCACTGAGAAGAATCATGTGTTCCCACTTTAAGCATTCGAAAGGAGGTGTGGGATATTGGGGAGGGCGGGAATGAGTAGAATGTGGGGAAACACAATTGAGGGTAAGTACTGGAAGTCCAATAATGTACCCCTTTTAAAAAGAAGTGTGAGGATCGGCTCTAAATACTTACGAGAGATCCCAAGGATTTTCGGTTAATTCAGGGTAACTACTATCCATGCCAGTCAATGGGGTTTCCCTAAATTCTTCGCAATCGCCAGAACAACCATCGATCCGACCAAATGTGGTGGTCGTAAAAATGTTCCACGCCCTTATTCGCAGATCAGTCGCATGAAAGCGAAAGCGAGCTGTTTCGCTGGTTATGGAGAGGGATTTCGTTGAGGGAGAAAGGGGGTTTTGCTGTTTCGCCACAACCGAACCTTGGGGAGAGGCTGGGAAGAAGATGGTTCTAGAGGGTGTTCGGGGTGTTGATCCAGTACGCGTGGGTACGATGTCTGCTGCTAAATACGGTTTCAGCTAGTTTCCAGTATTTCTAAAGCGTCTTCGGAGGGTTTTCGTGAATTACAAGCAGATATATATCGGTGAACACTCATCAGACAACATACCAGATGCGAGACTATCCCCTAGACCAATTGACAGCTTTCTCAAATCGCACTTGTTTCACCCTGAATTCCAGTTTGCCAAGACAGTGAACACTCCCGTAACCGATTTAGGGTAGACGAGAAGGCCTTGGATCTAAGCGCTGCAAGAAGGCTTCTCTTTCTACTCTACCCGATTCTCGCCGATCTTCCGTTGCGCAAGCTTTGCGAAACCTACTTCCGCTTAGATGTCGAGCAGAAAAGAGGAATTTCGGAAAGGAACTCGACCTAAGCAGGAGGACGGTGACGGCCACCGACGGAAAGCGTTCCGGAGGCCGACGGAGGGCGACTCGGGTGACGATTATTCCTCTGACGAGGACGCGGTGCCGAAGGGAAAGCGTGCGAAGGAAGCTGTCGCATCGCGCGGTCGAGGCGCGGATGCTGGTGGAAGGGCGAAGGTGGCGAAAGGTTATGCGAGCGAAAAGCGAGGGAAGGGTGCTGCTGACGTGTCAGTCAAGGGTCGGCCGAAGGTTCAGTATTCGTCGGATGAATATTCGGCGGATGAGGATGACGACGAGGAAGCGGATTTCTTGCATAGGAAGAAGCGCGAGGGGATGCACAGGCGAGTCAATGGCGATGGGAAGGCGAAAGAAGGGGGAAGTTTGAAGTGCGAGGAGGGAAAATTGGGTGTCTCGGGAAGTAAAGAGTCTGGGAAAGTGAGCTTTAAGAAGGGAAAAGGGTCTCGTGACGGTGATGAGGACGGGGAAAGGGAGGAAAAGGGCGGCAAGGGCAAACGGTCGTTTCGGCCTGGTAGGAGGGACGAGGAGAGCGAGGAGTGGGAGGAGGAGGAGGAGGATGGCCCGGAATTGATTGGGCGGGAGGTGAATGGGGGGATGGCGCGAAGGGAGGAGGATGCGCGGAGGAAGGGGGTTGAGCGGGAGGGGCGCGAAGGGCGCGAGGGGCGCGAAATGGGGCGGGAGAAGGAGAGAAGCAAAGGGAGGGAGAGGAGCGAGAGGGAAAGGATTGAGAGGGAGAGAGCGGAGGAACGAGAGAGGGAAGAGCGAGCGAGGGAGAAGGTGCGGCGGGAGAGGGAGAGGGAGAAGGAAAGGGAGAGAGAGAGGGAGAAGGAAAGGGAGAGGGAGAGGGAAAGGGAGAGGGAACGGGAGAGGGAGAGGGAAAGGGAGAGAGAACGGGAGAGGGAGAGGGAAAGGGAGAGAGAAAGAGAGAGGGAGAGGGAGAGAAGGGAAAAGGAAAAAGAGAGAGAAAGACGGGAAAGAGAAAAGGAGAGGGAGAGGGAAAAGGAGCGGGAAAGGGAAAAGGAGAGGGAGAGGGAAAAGGAGAGGGAAAGGGAAAAGGAGAGGGAGAGGGAAAGGGATCGCGAGTCGAGAAGGCGAAGGAGGGAGGCGGACGATGAAGCGGATGATGGGGGAAGGAAGGCGCAGGGGGAGGAGGGGCGGCGGAAACGCACCAAGGAGGATGAGAGTGGGCGGGGCGAGAGAGGCGCAGAGGGGAAGGGGGAGAAGGGGAAGGGGAAAGAGGAGGGGAAGGGTAAGGAGAAGGGGAAGGAAGAGAAGGGTAAGGAGGATAAGGGTAAGGAGGATAAGGGGAAGGAGGAGAAGGGGAAGGAGAAGGGGGCGGGCGGCGAGGGGGAGGAGGAGATGGATGGGGAGCAGCGGAGGCTGGCGGAGGAGATGGAGAGGCGCAGGCGGCGGGTGCAGGAGTGGCAGGAGCAGCGGCGGAAGAAGGCGGAGGAGGAGCAGGCGCGCGCGGCTGCAGGCGCAGGCGGGGAGGGGGGGAGCGGGGGCGCGGGGGGAGCAGCGCAGCGCAGGCGGATGGGGGAGGGAAGGGGCGCGGGTGGACTCTGGATGGGGAATCGGATGATGAGGAGGAGAAGGGCGGGAGTGGGGATGCGGAGGGGAAGGAGGGGAAAGGAAAGGGGAAGGAGAAAGTGGAGGAAGTGGGGGAGGGAGAGGAGGGACGGAAAATGGATTTGGACGAAGGAGGGGAGGGAGAAAAGGGAGAGGACGTGGAGGAAGGAGAGAAAGCGAAGGGTGATTTGAAGGGGAAGGGCAAGGAGGAGGCAGCAGAGGAGGAGGAAGAAGTGGATCCTTTAGATGCGTTCATGAACTCATTAGTGCTCCCAGAAGTCGCCAAGCTAGACGCCAAGGATGCCGCCCGGCCCGCCGCCCCGGCAGGAAGTGCGGAGGCAACAGCGGGCAGCAGCAGCTCGTCCCATGCTGCAAATGGTGGCGATGTGGTGATGGGTGCGGGGGCTGGTGGAGCGGCGGACAAGGGTGGCGGCAAGGGGAAGAAAGTGCAGGAGAAGGAGAAGGGGAAGGAGAAAGGGAGAGAAGAGGGGAAGAGGAAGGGCAAGGGTCCCAAGGGGCGCATTTTGTTTGGTGTGGACTCGGAATCGGAAGACGAGGGGGGAGGCGAGTCAGGCGAGGAGGAGGAGGGCGAGGAGGGCGAGGGCAAGAAGGGAGAGGAGGAGGACGAGGAGTTTGTGAAGCGAGTGACAGCCGTGGCTCAGACCAAGGCAGAGAAGCTCGCCCCCGTGGACCACTCGCAGGTGCGCTATGAGCCCCCGTGGACCACTCGCAGGTGCGCTATGGGCTGCTCAGATTTGTTGAAACGACTCAGATACTTCTGAACACATATGGACCACGCCAGATTTGCTTTGAGCCATTCTGCTCTGTTGAGACGTCTCAGAAGATCGAAAGATTCAGGTTTCAAACGCCTCATTAGACTTTGAGGTGCCTGAAACGTCTCAAAAGTCTCCAAAGTCGACAAAACCTCCCCCAACCCCCACCCTCCACCCCTTTCATCTCCACCCCCTTCCCTCCCCTCCCCTGTCCCCACAGATGCACTACGAGCCGTTCCTAAAGAGCTACTACAAGGAGGTGAAGAAAGGTGCCCGTATGACAGCCGTCTGGAGCTCTCTGCCTGCGAGAGCATGAGTTCAAGTTGCGTGGCAAGGGCGTGCTTCCAAGCCAAGTTGGACTTACAAGTCTTCAACTTTTACTCTCTCCCACCACCCCTGCTTCCTCGTTCCCCGCTCTCCTCTCCCCCTTCCCGCCCCCCACCCTCAGTGACTCATGGGCAGGTGCACTACGAGGCGTTCAGGAAAAGTTTCTATAAGGAGGTGAAGGAAGTGGCGCGGATGACAGCAGACGATGTGGCACTGTATTGACAAGAGCACGAGTTCAGCTGCGTGGCAAGGACGTGCCCGAGCCGGTGCCTGAGACACCTCACATTTCCCCCTCCCCACACCCTTCCCCCTTCCTCCCCCCTCTTCCCCCCTTTCCCCCTTTCCCCCTCCTTCCTCACGTTCCCCCACCCTCCCCACCCCATGCACCACTGGCAGGTGCATTACGAGCCATTCAGGAAGAACTTCTACAAGGAGGTGAAGGAGGTGGCAAAAATGACAGTCGACGAAGTCGCCTTGTACCGGCGCGAGCACGAGTTCAAGCTGCGCGGCAAGGACGTGCCCAAGCCGGTGCACACGTGGGTGCAGAGCGGTTTGAGTAATAAAGTGCTGGACGTGCTGAAGAAGATGGGGTTTGAGAAGCCCATGCCCATTCAGGCGCAGGCGCTGCCGATTGTGATGAGCGGGAGGGATTGCATTGGGATTGCGAAAACGGGGTCTGGGAAGACTCTGGCGTTTGTGCTGCCCATGTTAAGGCACATCATGGACCAGGTGGGTAGGGGAGAGGTGGGGGGGGAGGATGTGAGGGGGTGGAAGGAAAGAGAGGGCGGTGAGGGGCTCATTTGACACATGTTGCTCTGACAGACGGCTGCCTATGCTGCGACACATCATGGACCAGGTGGGTAGGGGAGAGTGGGTGGGGGAGGGAGTAGCATGGAACATCATTGGTGGAAAGAAGAGGGGGGGTGGGGTGTGTGGGGAAAGGAGGGTGGCGAGTGGGGCTGGCTTGACACATGTTGCTCTGCTCGAGCAGACGCTGCAGCTTCCTCTTCCCATGGAGCGCACACTACAGACCAGGTGGCATGGTGGGGGGAAGGAGAGGGGAAGGTGAGCGGAGGGAGGAATGGGAAGAGGAAGAGCAGGGCAGAATATGGATCGGGCGAGTGGGAGGGCGTTCGAGGGGGGAGGAAGAGGTGTAACCCTCTTTTACGTCTAACCCTCTACATTTCTCCCTTCCCTTTCCTTCCTTTCCCTCCTTCAACCCCCTCTCCTGCACTATCCTCCACTGCAACTCGTGGACTGTCCCATACGCCTCATCCTCTTGTACAGAAAGCCACCGAGCTAAAGCTCCTGCGTCCCCCCCCTCCCCATTCCTACCCCCTCCCCTTGTCATCCTCCCCCCCTCTCCCCTTCCTCCACCAGCCGCCACTGCAATCAGGACGGCCCAATTGATCTCATCACTGCCCCCACCAGGGAGCTCGTGCAGCAGATATTTGCTGGCATCCGCTGCTTCGCGCGCCCCCTCGGCCTCTCCTGTGTGCCCGTCTACAGCGGGTTGGGTGTGGCCCAACAAATCAGCGAACTAAACCTTCCTTTATGGTCTTACCATTTGCTTCCCTCCAATCCAACCCCCTCTGTTCCCCTCCCTCCCCGCCTGCAGCCCCCACTGCAATCCGGAGACGGTCCCATAGGCCTGATTCTAGCCCCCACGCGTGAGCTAGTGCAGCAGATCTTTGCCGACATCCGTCGCTTTGCGCGCCCCCTCGGCCTCTCCTGCGTGCCCGTCTACGGCGGCTCCGGCGTGGCGCAGCAAATCAGCGAGCTGAAGCGCGGTGCGGAGATCGTGGTGTGCACGCCGGGGCGCATGATTGACATTCTCGCGACGAGCAACGGGCGCATCACGAATCTGCGGAGGGTGACGTATCTGGTGCTGGACGAGGCGGACCGCATGTTTGACATGGGCTTTGAGCCGCAGATCGGGAGGATCATTGGGAACACCAGGCCGGATAGGCAGACGGTGCTGTTCTCGGCCACGTTCCCCCGCCAGGTGGAGACGCTGGCCAGGAAGGTCCTCACCAAGCCCATTGAGATCCAGGTGGACCATTCTCTGCCTTTTCTTCTGGCCCTCACTCCCCATCTGTTTCTGAATGTGCCTGAAGGTGCCTGAATGTGCCTGATTGTGCCTGCATGTGCCTGCATGTGCCTGAATGTGTTTGAATGTGCCTGAATGCGCCTGAATGCGCCCTTCCAACCTTCCCAGTGGGGAGGCGCAGTGTGGTGAACAGCGACATCACTCACGTTCATCCCTCCCCTCCCCCCATCCCTTGTCGAGCCTCGAGGCGTCTCAAAGCAACACGCTCATCCTTTCCTTTCTTTCCGGTCCCCATCCCCCAATTTCACACCTGTTCCCGAAACCCCTCTCCTCCCCTCCCTCCCCCTCCCTTCCCCCCCCCCCCTCCCTCCGCCCCCTTTCTCCTTTCCTCCCTCCACAGGTGGGCGGGAACAGCGTTGTCAACAAAAGGGGACTGGTGCGACAAGGTCAAGACACCCACATTCTCATCCCTCCCCTCTTTCCCCATCGCCAGGTGGGAGGGCGCAGCGTGGTCAACAGCGACATCACCCAGACCGTGGAGGTTCGCCCAGAGGGAGAGCAGCGCTTCTTGCGTCTGCTGGAGCTGCTGGGCGAGTGGTGCGACAAGGGAAAGATCCTGGTGTTCGTGCACTCCCAGGACAAGTGCGACGCGCTCTTCCGTGACCTCCTCAAGTCCGGCTACCCCTGCCTCTCCCTGCACGGCGCCAAAGACCAGACCGACCGCGAATCCACTTTGCAGGATTTCAAAACGAATGTTTGTAACTTGCTAGTGGCTACCAGCGTCGCGGCTAGGGGTTTAGATGTGAAGGAGCTAGAGCTGGTGATAAACTATGATGTGCCGAATCATTACGAGGATTATGTGCATCGGGTGGGGAGGACCGGGAGGGCCGGGAGGAAGGGGTGCGCGGTGACGTTTATCAGCCCGGAGGAGGAACGGTTTGCGCCGGACCTGGTCCGAGCCTTGGAGCTGTCGAAGCAGCCGATTCCCGAGGATCTTAAAGCCATGGCTGATGCTTTCACTGCCAAGGTGAAGGCTGGGAGCGTGGTGGCGCATGGGAGCGGGTACGGCGGCAGTGGCTTTAAGTTTAATGAGGAGGAGGAAGCTGCTAAGAAGGCGCTGAAGAAGGCGCAGGCGAAGGAGTATGGGGTGGTGGTGGATGAGGAGGAGGGGGGCGAGGAGGAGGAGGAGAAGGAGGAGAAGGAGGGGAGCGGCGCGATTCGGAGGGTTGAGGCGCCGAGTGCGGGTGGTGCGGCGGCGTCGGCGGCGCAGAGCATTGCAGTGGCGGTGGCGGCTGCTGCGGCTGCGGCAGCTGCGAACAAGGCAGGGGGTGCAGTGCCAGCAGTAGCAGCAGTGGCAGTGGCGAATCCAATCCAAGCAGCAGTGCAGGCGAGGATGGCCCAAATGGGTATCACCCCTGCTGCTGGCGCTGCTGCTGTGCCTGCTGCTGCTGCTGCTGCTGCCCTTGCCAACCCCCTCGCTGCCTCCCTCGTGGGAGCAGCGGCAGCAGGGGAATCAGCAGCGACAGCCATCGCCTCAGCTGCCGCCGCAGCCCCGACCCCGGTCTCCCGCGCAGCAGCCTTCGCAGCAGCCATCAGCCTACAGCACAACTTGGCCAAACTCCAACCCGCCGAACCAGTCAAAGCGCACTATGAGGCGGAATTCGAGATCAACGAGTTCCCGCAGCACGCGCGGTGGAAGATCACCCACAAGGAAACCCTAAACCAGATCATCGAGTGGACGGGAGCATCGGTGACCACGCGGGGGCTCTACTGCCCGCCGGGCAAGGCATTAGCCGCCGGAGAGAAGAAGCTGTATTTGTCAATTGAGGGGCCGACGGAGGCGAGTGTAAAGAAGGCCAAGGTGGAGATCAAGAGGATTATAGAGGAGGCGAGTGCTGCTGATGCCTCCCACCAGCAGCGCCCCGTGCAGCCTGGGCGGTACTCTGTCATGTGACTGCTGCTGTGTGCACGTACGGGTAGGGGGATGAGCGGAAGGGCCGCCGCTTGTTGGGGATGGGGGATTGTGGGGAGTTGTTGGTTTGTAAGATGAGCAGTGCCTTGTGCAGCCGGGTAGGTAGGTGATGTGATGTGGGGGGGGGGGTTCCGTCATGTGATTGGTGCTGTCTGCACCTGCACGTATGAGTGGGGGGAGAGGGAGCCGGGGGGGTTGGATTTAGCGGTGAGTGATTTGTACCAGCGGGGAGTGCAGTGGGGAGTGGTGTCGCTTTGTGCTGATTCAATGAAATGCGTTGTCAAGGCGAATGGCAGATGGGATGAACAGCGGCTCTTGTGACTCGTCTCAGCTCTAATGAGCTCACAGATGTTCAAGAATGACCATGCTCGGATGGGTCATTGCTCACTTCCACCCGTGCATTGTGCTGGAGCCAGCGTACTTTCCTGGCACCGGCAGTACCCGTTTCGTGTGACATCTAGGCCATTTCTGTTCCTCGAATACAGTTAACTCTCACATGCACCCCATTCAAAACACGTAGCACGATAGGACGGTGTGGAGTACCCTTATTATGCGCAAACGTCCTTTGTTTGCAATTAAATTGTTTACTTTGAATTTCTAGCCCTGGCTGGTATTGTTAGTCCATTCATCACACTGATGTCACATGATATCGGCAAAAATTGCACCTGCGTATTTATACTGGGTCATGAAATATAATATGGCAAATGCTCACCAGAAGGAATTCCTGAACATAAGGCTTATATTGCGCATTAGAGCGTGTAATTTCGTGCAATCAGCATTGTTCGTGGCTCTGGTGAACAAATACTTTCGCACCTGTTCGTGATCAGCGCAAATATCAACATCGCAGCTTCTCGCGAAGGGGTGCTTGTGGTGGTTACTGAGCTTGGGACCTAGGGTTTGGTGCCCCACCAAACCACCACTTGCCTCGTCCTCCTAGGTGAGCTGATAAGCCCGCCCGAGAGAAAGCAGCTCTTCATTCAGAAGCCCACCCCATTCTGATTAGAGATGGAGATAACCGTACTAGATCTAGCAGATTGCCAGCCGCATTTGGCGGGAGATAGAACTTGGTGCCTCTTTCAGCCGCCCCGCCCTTTTTGTTTTCGAGTTTGCAGCAGCCTCGCAGCTCAGATCGACGTCTGTCATGTGGAGCAATGCACTTTCCCAATTATAATCCACCACCAGGTATGACCCCACACCGCCACGCGACGCGTAGATCCACGGGTGAAACACGTCACGCTGGGCTAGGTTCGGCGTGTCACCTGCATTCATTCGCGTCCATGCGCTGCGGATGTCGGTGCCAAGCCTAGCCGTAGACAGGGTACCGAAAGTTCCGACGTGTTTTAAGTCGTCCGATTCGAGCCTGCCTAGCCGTTCTTTTGTCATCCACGTGAGAGTGCTGCAGTATAATCATATCGAGGGCAAAGCTTTGCCGCAGACGAGTTTTCGGAAGCACCGGAAACACTCCAACCGTCCGATTTTCGTGTTCGCTGGCGGTACAGTCAGACGAGCAGCAATGTGGACCACCTGCTGGCCGACTCGAGCTTGCTCCAACCGCAGTAAATGGATGTGGTGCCGAAGCTCCACCCAACAGTTGCCGAACCAGCCGTTGAACGACGGCTCCTTCGTTAACGGGGGAACCCACGGCTTGGTGTCAGTAGATATGGTCACTTGACGACCATTTTTCTTCAATCACAACCTGTTTGCTTCACAAGCTCTTTCAGTCACTCGCACAGACTTCGCCGCGTGCTCCCGTTGCTGGAATGGAATCAGTGAACCCAGAAACTGTAGTTGCCATTACTCTTGCTGCTGCGACGGCTTTCGGAAACGCAGCGAGGTACCTCTGGGAGGTACCGAGCTGGTTCGACTGCCCTGCAGTGAACCCTCTTCCTTATGATTGCCTCTACGAATGGACGGCGACGGATGAAGCTCAGCTGAGAGCAGCACCTGAACTCAGTGTGAGCCAGGAGCTGCTGCTCCTGTCTAAAATAACAGTAAGCTTCAACGAGTTTAATACTGAGTGGACTGCTGAGGACGAGGCTTATCTTAGAGCTCCTGTCACAATCCGTCGTGCCACATTAACTGTGAGCGATGAGCTGCTACTTCTGGCGGGTGACTTTGCTAACTTTGCTGATTTCATCACACCTGAGTGGACGGCCGAGGATGAAAAATACCTGAAAAGCGGATTATTGAAACCGCACGATGGATGGAGCGTTGCCAAGTGGCTGGCGCAGTATGATTCAGTGGACACGGCCGAATTTGACACTGAATGGACGGAAGCCGACGAAGCGTATTTGAGAAATCAGGTGATCCGGAGACCTGTGGAACGCAAGGCGATGACCTCCGCGGAGGTGGCGTTCAAGATGGGTCGGTTCGGTGAGGAGAACAAGAAGCGCCGGGAAAACCGCTTTGGAGAGCGGTTGGGCTTCTCGCCTTTGAGGCCCGCCTTCGCTACCGCTGTTGCCTCTGCTGTGAGCACGCTGGCTGCTGCTGCAAGTGCTGCTGCTGACGCTCTTGGTGCTGCTGTTGCCGCTGCTGTGCCTGTGGTGGCTGCTGCTGCTGCGGATGCCGCTGCTGACGCCATTGCTGGCGCCGTTTCTGCTGCTTCTGCTGCTGTGCCTGATGCTGCTTCACCTAAGAAAGAGGTTTGCAAGCCATCAGCACAATCAGCAGCGAAACCAGCTCGATCTGTGGCAAAGGCAGCAGCACCATCAGCAGCTAAATTATCACCATCAGCAGCTCGGTCCGTGGCGAAGGCAGCAGCCCCTTCAGCAGCTAAAGTAACGGCTGTGGTAAAGCCTGCTGCGTGCAAGCCATCGGCACGCACAGCAGCTTCGCCAGCTGGACGAAGATCAGCCACAGCAGCTTCGCCATCAGGACGAAGACGGCCAGCGGTCAAAGCAGCAGCGAGATCAGCCACACAACAGGCTGTGAAGCCGCCTGTGAAGGCAGCAGCCTCTGGCATAGCGGCAAAAGCAAGAGTCGCTGCTCCTGCTGCCTCTGCTGGGCCTGCTGCTGCCACGAGCAGTTTGCGAAAAGGCCCGGTTCCGGCTGTGAGGGGGGAAGGGAAGAAGGGAGTGCAGGCAACAGCAGGAACAGCAGCCTCGCAGAAACAGCAGTCCCAGAAACCCAGGTGGAGGTGACAAATACGACTTGCTACTGACTAGTGTATAGGAAAAGTTTTGCCTTGTATCATATAGTTCACTTATAGGGCTGTTGTTCTCGTGGTATGGGGCAGTTGCGGAACCATGGTGTTTTGTGTCACATTGTTTGTATGCATGGTTGCTCATGCTACAGGAAGCATGCGTGTGCTGCATGATTGTGCTGCTTGGCATGAATGTGCGGCTTGGCATGAATGTGCGGCTTGGCATGAATGTTATGTATGCTGCAGAAGGCACTTGGGGTGTCCTGCATGAGTATGTGTCACATTGTGATGTGAGTGTGCTTGGTTATGAATGTGCTGCTTGGCATGAATGTGCTGCTTCATCTCGTTCACACTATTTTTAATTTCCAACAACGCATTTCCTTCCACATCCCCTGTAAAATGGACGTGCCACATTGTGAAAGTGCACTTGTCACTCTATTTTTTTCTGTGGGCTTCCAATTCAGGTTTACCAGTAAGCACTGTGACCGTAATTGCAGCTCAAGGCTTCAAATTGATGACTTGATTACCTCTCCATGCCCATCCTTTCCTCAACACTCACCCTCTCTCTGCCCTTCCCTCCCCTCCCCCACGCCTATCTTCCTCCCCTCTGATGCTCCCCCTCCCACTCCCCCTCCCTCAGTGAGGCAAAGCAGAGGAGGGTGTGGTGGTGAACCTTTCGTTGGATGCGACTACTGACTGGTTCTGACACCTTTGCAGCTCTCACTGCTTTCTGCTGGCCCTCGCGTGAGCTTCCGTGAGTCTTGAGAAAGCTGAAAAAATTCCTTGCAATCATGTGTGCCATATGGCTACTTTTGACGTGAGGTTGAAACATGAAGATGGGAAATATGGCACGCTTGAGATATAATTGATTGGTGTGCCATTTATAAATTTCCAGCTCTTTTTTTTAATGCGCTGGACCAGTTTCCACACGTCAGGTTTGGAGATGTTTAAGTCCGCATTCAGGTCGGCATTCAGATATCAGGTCAGGATTCAGGGATCTGGTCAGCATTTAAGCATCCGGCCAGTATACAGGGACCAGGTCAGTATCCAGGTGTCAGGTCAATATTAAGGTATCAGGTCAGTATTCAAAGATCAGGTCAAAATTGGGTTGTCAGTTCATTTTTCAGGTGTCAAGTCAGTATTCAGGTATCAGGTCAGTAATCAAGTATCAGGTCAGAATTGGGGTGTCAGGTCAGTAATCAAGTATCAGGTCAGAATTGGGGTGTCAGGTCAGTATTCAAATATCAGGTCAAAATTGGGGTGTCAGTTCATTATTCAGGTGTCAGGTCAGTACTCAGGTATCAGATAAGAATTCCGGTATCAGGTTAATATTCAGTATCAGGTCATACCATATCCGTGCCATGCCAAGTCAAATCCGTCCCATGCCATGGACAGCCGGGAAAAGCCATCAAGACCTTGGGTAACCATGTGCTGCTTGGTACTCCCATGTATCTCCTTTGCGGATTGTTCATTCGCCAGACAGACATGGTCTTCTTCTTTTCCTGTGAATCGTATGTGCCAGATTGTGACAATATGCTTGTCACTCTGTATGCTCCCGAGTGTTACCGTGGGCTTTCAAGCATTGCCAGTAAGCAATGTGACCGTCATTGCACGTCAGGGCTGAAAATCACGTCAGGACCATCACTCAGTGCCCTGCTTCGCATAGCTCACCACTTACCCTCTCCCTGTCCCCTCTCCTCCCTACTTCCCTTCTCCCCCCTGGTCCCTCATCTCCCGCTCACCCTCCCCAGCCCACTACCGTCCCTCAGTGAGTCAGTAGTGTACTCTCTGACAGCTTCCGACACTTTGCCGTTTTCCACCTCTATTGAACTGCTGCCAT